AGGAAGAAATGTTGCAAGGCAAAACCGGGCCAGGTGCTGCAGGGGAGTAATGGTCCCTCTCACTTTTTCCATTCATGAGCAGGATACATTTTGTTCTGTGCACCAAGAGAGGTGCACCACCAGTAGACACACATGCTGCGGACTACTGGAGGTGCTCCACTAATCAGCTGGGCGGCATGTGAACCTCGCCTGGGGTGCCGCCCATGCGCTCGGCTTACAGGCAACGCTGAAGGGGAGTGAGGGGCCCGCCTTAGGACATTAGTGATGGTGGCTTTGACCGCAGCACATAGTGCTACTTGCCTGCCCTTGTAAATCGGGGTAACAGGGTGGGGTGTTGGCCAGGGGCAATGGGAAACCACCGCCCTTGGCTGGCCTGGGGACGGTTCCCAAGGAGCAGAGGGGAAGAAGAGGGAGGACTTGGCATGCCTGGTGCAGCAGAAGCCGTGAGAAAAGAAAGACGCTCTGCACACAGACCGGCTGAGGAAGCTCTCGCTGAGGGGGGCGGAACCTTTTTTGGGTCTGGGGCTGCTGACCCACAGAAAAATCAGTTGGTGCCACTCACAAGGGAGGGAAAAAAACCCTCCTCACTGACGTGGCCCCACTGAGAAGGAGAAAGACCCTCCCCACATCCCCTCGCACGCCTGAGCCTGGGGGGCCAGGCTAGTCGATGTCGTGTGCTCCAGCCTGCCAGTGGGGTGGGGGGCTGGAGCGCAATGCCGATGGGGGGGCCCTGAGCCTCAGGGGCCGGATTTAGGCAAGCTGGGGGGTGCATCCAGCCCCTGCAGGGACGGCCCTACCATGAGGAGAACTGAGGCGGCCGCCTCAGGTGCCAGACTGTGGGGGGGCGCCACTAGTCCCCAGAGTGTAGAAAACTGTGTCTGCTGCTGGTGCAGATGTATTCTCTGTGCTCTGGATGCCCAGAGATGGTTGCGGGCTGTGCAGGAGGAAGGAGGGCACGAGACCTTTCAAAGTTTTGGCCCAAGCGAGGGGGCATGAGGGAGCAATTTGAGCTCCCCGCCTCAGGTGCCAAAGCGTTGTGGGCCGGTCCTGGGCTGTAGGTTCCCCACCCCTGCTCTAGCCAATCAGCCAGCGAGTCCCACCGTCCCGTTTGGGAAGAGGAGTGTTTCTTGGCTATGGTTACCCATTGGACAGGGCTACAGTCTGACCCGGGCCTGGCGGAGTGTTTGCTCCAGGCCCGTAATCGACTCCACAAGCACGGTGAGCTCTGCTTGTGAAAAGCACAAGAGACCGGCGAGATGTCACGGTGCTTCCTTCCCGTGACACCTTCCCTCGGAGGATCCCAAAGCACCAAGCAAGCGTGGGGCCATTCCAGGGCCCTGGGCCGGGGCCTGTAGAACCATGGATCTTGATTACCAGTCTCCTTCGCCGCGCGCGCTACCTCTCCCGTTCCTCTGAGCAGGCGGAAAAGCCCCGACTTGGCCTGGCTCCGCAGCCTTTGTCAGGACTGCTGGCTGGGGTGAAGGGCCAAGGACAAGGAGCTGGAATGTTTGGGCATCTTTCTTCCCGGCTTTTTCACTTGGCTGGGGTGAGTCAAATCTGCACTCTGCCCAGCTGCAAAATGGGAGGTCCCAATAGCTTGCCAGTCTCACAGAAGCATTTCCATCCTTTCTCAGTGTACATAAAGGGCTCCGGGACCCTTTGATGGATGGGAGAGCTCGCAAAGAGGCCAAAGTCCCTCTCTGTGTGTACACTGGCCTCCTACCCCTTGTGCTGAAACATGGCGCGTTCCACCCCAGAGCTGTGAACCAATACAGGGGTTGGTCTTTTGACCTCTCTCCCCTGAACAAAAGCCACAGGCGGGCCACGGTGTGAATGCATTACTGTGGCGGGCTGACTGCCCCAGGCTGGCTGAGAAGCTGGAGGGAGAGCCCCGGCCAATCAGGGAAGGGCTGAGAGGAGCCAATCGGGGTGTTGCTTGCTGGGGCAGCCCTATTTAAAAAGAGCTGCCCAGCAGAGAGTAGGCAGATAGGCCTTGACCAGGGAAGGTGCAGGACCCGGTTCCTGGAGAGGCATGTTCGATAGAGCAGGGCTGGGCAGACTCGGGGGGCTAGAGAGGGAGGCTCTGGCCTGATGCTTGGCAAGCAGGAGGGTGCAAAGGGTTACAGGGGAAATGGCGCAGGGAACAAGGGGCGGTGGAGGGGAGTAAAGGAGGGCAGGACAAGGCTGCCGTCAGAGGGTCCCTGGGTCAGGACCCAGAGTAGTGGGTGGGCCTGGGTGCCCCCCTTTCTTCCTTGCACCACATCTAGCCACCCCTGACATGTGGCCTGGAAGGACGGCGGCTTGCCCCTTACATGAGGAGCTAGACGGAGGCTGCAGTTGGCTACGGTGGTGGGTGCTAGACCAAGAGCTGCTGATTGCCCCCGGAAGGGGGATGACAGACCCCTGTGGTGGGCCCTGCTGGAGGGCAGCATCCTGAAGAGGACACCTGTGTCGCTCCTGGACCCCGGTCCTGAACAAGAGTGTGGAGTGAAGACGGGCGAGACACCGCCAGAAGGGGGCACCCTGCTGAGTGAGAACTAATTCCCCAGATCAGCCAGCAGGAGCCGCCGCCGCGGTGAGTCAGCCCTATGATGATTGCCTACAACAGCCTCGTCCATTCCTGGGAATCCGGCCTCCATGGCCCACGTGTTGAGTTGTCCAGCAAGCACCTTCCTCCCATGCCGTCCCTCGTAACTGCGAGACACTCTCTGTAAACATCGCCAAAGCTCCCCCCTCGTCTTCCTTCAACACCCTCCTTAAACCTGTCCCGGGCCATGACACCTACAACAGGCTGTTTACGCACAAAGATCACGCTCATCACGTTGCCCGTTGTTTCCTCGTGCTCCCCCCCTCCAATTTACACTTAGATCGTAAAGCTCCTTGGGGCAGGGACTACGTTTACTCTTTGTTTACACAACCCCCGTCTCAAGGGGTTCCCAAGCTGTGCAGGAATCCAATAATGATGCTCCACATCAGCATGGCGTGTTGCTAATGGCGCTGGCACCAGGCGACTTGCCGGTCTTTGTCTACCTCTAGTGGCTGGTCCAGTGAAGACCTCCGTGAGTTCGCCGACGGTGGACGCTACTAGAACATGTTCTCTACCCGGGTGGTGGAGCTCATGCTTTTAGCAGGGAAGGACTCGAATTCCAACTCGGCCACTGGTCCGGCTGGTGCCCTCGCCGTCTTGGGGGAGCTGGCTGTGTTATCTCGGGACAGCACCTTCTGTGTGTCGGCCCGTGCGTGAATCCCAACCTCCTCCAGTTGGGTTAGGCATCGAGTCTGTGCGCGGGCTCCCGGCTAATCTCCGTGGGGTTCAAAGCCGAGTCGTGCAGCGCTGGGGTGCCCAAGGCCCGTGACCGGTTGCCATGGCAGCAGTGGCTTTACTCTGGATGATTCCTATTGTCAGAGCAGACTGTGGCTGGTGGCTCTCAGAGCAGTTTAAGCTCATGCATGTGTCGCACGCCCTGAGCAGCCTGCCACACTGTCATCGCTTTGATGTCTTCATTTGGCTTGAGCTACAGGGTAGGTCTTCCCTGAACCTTACGCCTCCGTTTCACAATTCAGCAGAGCTGGGTGGGAATGACCTGACCAGCTAGGGGGTCCCTAACTGATGCAAAGAGCTGTCGGAAAGACGTTGCTTAGATCATTCACGATGCAAAAGGCCAGGCTGTTGAAATACGCAGAAGTCTGTCTGACTACCCAGACGTGCTAGAAGGAAGCTGTTCCTGTCAATGCGGGGTTAATTAGCAAACATTCAAAAGACTCCAACTCAATTAAAAGTGGCCAGGAGTTCTGTGTAAAGAGAGGACACAAGGGCTGAGCCGCCTTTGAGATGCACGAAAGCAAATGATGCGTGTTGCATAGAATTATGGCAGGAGCTGTATCATATCGGTCTCGTGGGTCAGGAAACAGCACGGCAGGATAGCAGGGATAATGCTATCATGCCTTTGTCGCACGGCAAATCTCGCAATGTTCCCTGTAAGATTTGCCATCCATGAGCTGAGGGAGTTTCGTCATGTGCACGCATGTTGAAGTCCTGTGCGCTTGTGCAGCTGTGTCCCCCGTGGTGACTGCCAGCTGCTAACAAATGTCTTCGATATCTATATTTTTAAAATGGCACGGAAGAAAGAAAACTAAACCAAGGGATCATTAGCAAGGTGCACGACTTGACACGTCTGTTTAATATGAAATCAAATAAAAAGAAAATCAACGCCGCAAAATTTTCAATCGCCATTTGGTAGCTTACATGGGTCTGTGGCATAAAACAAAATTGCCCATTTTCTTGACATAGCAAGCAAAATATTTTACACTTTTTGCTTGAAATGAAAGATTGTCATTTAACAGGCTCATTTCTGAGCACTTTTTGTGCAGACATATTGCCCTATGATCTAGGAAACAGGTTTATATATAATATATATTGCCGTTTGTTTAGAGGCGGGAAAAACAAGTTTGCAAACTCGCCTTTGTTTTGCAACCCCACCCTAAATAGTCTCTGCGGTTTGCAAAGCCTTCAGCTTCCCCAGGGTTTCACACCTCGTCACATATCTCAGTGAAATAAGCGTAGAACCGGTTTGGCGTTGCCCGGAGCAGCATGTGAGGGCTGCATTCCTATCCGTGGATCAGGGGATGGTGCAGAAGATCCTAGGACCCCCTCCCCCCGCCAGGGTGAGAGCTCTGACAAGTGCAGGAAACTGCCCATCCAGTGAATCGCTGGTGTGAACAATCTCCACGTGCACAACTGCGGGAGAGGAAATACACGGGAGTGAAATCTGAGTGCTTCTTGTGAGATTTTCCACATAGTGCAAGTGAATTGCCACCAACTGGTGAAAATTGCTGCCTGCCTTTCCTCTCGGCCCGAGATACGCTCTTGTGCTGCTACGCCATTTGTGAATGCTGACAGCTCAGCACGGAACAGGCCTGAGATACTCACGTACTCCCACGAATCCCCCTCCATAAAGAGCATGTTCCAGGGAAGAGCGTTCACCCTACGTACATAAGACTTGTGCAGTGAGAGACACGGGTGAGTTTGCTTTTGCAGAACGTCCCGTGTGGGCTTTGGGTTTGCCAGGCAGGATTTCCTCCTGTAACGTGGAAACTAGATTGGTTTTGGAAGCAGGGGCGGTGCTTTGCTAAGCTTCAAAGCTTGCAGGAGCATGACGGCGCGTGTACCCCATTCTGCAAGGAAAGGACGACGGGGGGTCAGGGGGCAGGCTGTGCCTGGAGTGTGCCCAGGCTTACGGGCGAGGAAGAGAAGCTGGGGAGGGGGGAGGGAGACGACTGTCGACAGAGGGAGGTTTTCAAACTAGAAGATCCGTAGATGGAGTGAGGAACGCATGCTGCGGTCACCCTCCAGGACTAGAGACTGGGATGAGCTGGCCCTGCAGGAGTGCCAATAGAGTCACAGGGCAAGGTATGTAGGTAGGAATGGCTCTGGATTCCTGGAAGGGACGGAGCCTTGGGTGGAAGGGGCGGAGCCTTGGGCTGAAGGGGTGGGGCTGCCAGCCCTCGGCACTGTGCAGACCACACTGCACAGCACTCTGGCGGTGATTTAAAGAGCCCCGGGCTCCAGGCCCTCAGTCACCCCCTTTGCCTACCCCCACCACGTCGGCAGGCTGCCGGCTCTGGGATCATCTCTGGGACAGGGAAGTCTGGCAAGCAGCCTGGAGTGGTACAGAGCAGCCCCAGAGGGGGTGCAGGCTCTGGTGGGAAGCTGGGACCAACGGCAGGAACTAGACCTGAAGCTGGACTAGGTAACTCTTCTAACCTGATGATTCTGTGACCTCCGAGGGGAGAGTCCTGGGAGGGACGCGGTGAGGATGGAAGTGGGTTTGTGTTGATCCCTGACGGTTTGGGAGCTTGTTGCGAGATTTCAGGGGAAGACCCTGGAAGCCAAGGCCCATGGAAGAAAGGTGAAACCTAGACAGGTTTTTTTTGGGGGGGAAAGATCTGGGAGAGGCTGAGCAGGAAAAAGTCCGGGGTGGGGGTGGCAGCAAGGAGCCGGATGGAGCATTCTTTGGTTGTCAGTTACGGGGACCCTGGACGGAAGCCCAGCAGGGAGGCTGATCCCGGCTTCTCTTGCTAGCCAGTGACAAGATGAGTCCAGAGAAAGGGAGGAGAATGACAGACCGAGAAAAGGGTGTGAGGACTGGGTTGGAGACTGAAGATCTCATGCTTAGGACTTTGGGACTTTGCGATCCCAGAATGGGTGGAAACAAAAGGTCACCTGACCAGAGGGCTGAAGTACAAGAAGATGGACCTCCCCAGAACCTGATACAACATCTGGAGAGGGGCGAGCTGCCACGCCAGGCCTGGCCAGGAGGAGGCGCTGCAGTTGTGAGTCCACTCTTTCACAAGGAGGTTTGAGCAGGGGTATTGTCCGTAGGGGTTAAATTACTGGACTGAGATGAAGGCGTTTCTGTTCCCAACTGTTCTGTGCTTGGAATGGGGAGACTCCTCACTCCCCTTGAGGACAGAGCACTTTGAGGTCTTCGGGTGGAAGATGCTATCAAAGGGTAAGGTGATCCTCTCATGTCACCACCATGTCCTTGTGCAGCGGGATGAGATGTTGAAGGCCAAAGACGGGTGGTTTAATCATTCAGCTGGTTGTGCCCCATTGGCCTATGCTTGTATTTCATTTAGCGTCCACGTGAAGGGTTTGTTCCCACATTCTGGTGGTTTTGTTTTGCTTGATTTTCAGGTGGCGGAAACGTCTGACAGTGAGCACAACCTGGAGCTACAGACGGTGCAAATGGAAGAGACGGGCGAAAGAAAGGCCGGTGGCGGGAACGCACCGGAGGCCAACCCAAGCGTAGGCACGGGGACCCCATCTGTGTCGTCCACGTCTACTCTCTTCCCAAAACTTTACACCCAGCAGAATGCGATGAGGAAATTCTTTGTTACCAGGGTAAGCAAACCTCACCCTTTGGCATCCTTTAGTTTATGGACTGTCCCCAGAACCGTTTGGCTCTAAAGCTTTCCTCCTGGATGTTCAGTCCCCATATTGGCAAGAGGATCTGGTGTGATTTACCCATCTGTGCCTACAAGTCGAGTCAGACCCTCTATCATTTAGGTGTGCTGGGAAAAAACCCTAATCTCTTCCAGGCATGTCTGATTTCCACCTGGACCTCCACAGTCCATAACCTGTGCTCACTGGCTGCCCTGCGCATGAGTTATGCTCATAAGAAGCACACGGGATCTTTATGGGGGAAAAGGCAATACGCCATGTTTATTGAGAATACAGTGGCAAATCAGTTAGCATACGCTTACACAGACAGACACACACACATTCACAGGCATGCACTCCTGCCACTGATGGTATAGTTACCAGTCTGCGGCTCGCATTAGCCTGGTGGCCAAGTAGGCTAAGTGCGAGGGAGGAACCAGGTTTGCTTCGGCCCAACCTGAGGTTCCAGTCCAATACAGGCAGAACAAACCTGGCTCTTATGAGAAAGCCGTCCTCCTTTTATAATGGTTCTTCTCCATCAGGATCAGTGAGTTTTACATTGTCAGGCTGTTTTTCTGATGGGTGACTGTTACTCCGGTTGTTGTCCTTGCTCCTTCTCTTCTTTGTTCTGCCAGGCGAAGCTGGTTTCAATCACCAATCTCTTGTCCCAATCGATAAATGCTCGCCCTTTCCCTCTGTGTCGTGAGTTGCCAATCTGCCCTCTTTTGTTCTGCCTACTAGTTCGTCGTTGTTCAATATTCTGGTGCAATGGCAGTCTTCACCCATCTCGCTCGCACATTCCTTACTCCCCCACAGAACAAAAACAAGAACAAGGGATGCAAACAAAACTTCAAGAAAAAATGCATTTCCCCACTATATTATAATATCTACTTTAAAACCAACAACAAAATAACCATAAACATCTAAATCTATTCCTATAGTAATTCTAAATCAAATAATTTGAACTAATTTCTACAATGATATTAATAATCTATTTCGACTTCAAAATAACTTGGCGAAGTATACAACAAAAGTATCACTAATATAGAAAATAAAAGTTTTTCTGCTACTCATGTCCATGCTACTCTACTCTACTCCAAGTTTGGAGAGTACAATATGGGGTGTAATTTGATGTAACCAATTCTGTGCCTCCTCAAGGACAAGAACATAAGAACGGCCACACTGGGTCAGACCAAAGGTCCATCTAGCTCAGTAACCTGTCTGCCAACAATGGCCAATACCACATGCCCCAGAGGGAGGGAACACAACAGGTAATCTTCACGTGATCCCTCCCCGGTCGCCCACTTCCAGACAAACAGAGACTAGGGACACCATTCCTACCCATCCTGGCTAATAGCCATTGATGGACCCAACCTCCATCTAGTTCTTTTTTGAACCCTGTTAAAGTCTAACTCTTCACAACGTCCTCTGGCAAGGAGTTCCATAGGTTGACTGTGCACTGTGTGAAGAAAAACTTCCTTTTGTTGTTTGTTTTAAACCTGCTGCCTGTTCATTTCATTTTGTGACCCCCCTGGTTCTTATGTTATGGAAACAGGTAAATAACTTTTCCTTATTTACTTTTTCCACACAGGTCGTGATTTTATAGACCTCTATCCTATCCTGCCCTTAGTCTCCTTTTTTCTAAGCTGAAAAGTCCCAGTCATTTTAATCTTTTCACATTGCACCCGTTACAAACCCCCAATCATTTTTGTTGCCCTTTTCTGAACCTTTTCCAATAACCAACAAAATCGTTTGAGAGAGGCCTGTATCCAGTTAACAGTCTTGTCTAATGTGAGAATTTGCCTCAGCTCCGTCAGTCGGCAGCCAGAGCTCCTCACAGGCAACCCCACAGTTTGTACTGAAGTAGCTAGTCCCTGTCTGACCCTGGGTCATCTGCATCAGTGCCAAGCGTCCCTTTGCTGTTCTACACTTGAGATATGATTGGTGCAGCAACCAGTCTTGCTGAAATGGGAGCAAATTGCCAAAGGAGAGGCGTCCTCCATCTAATTGATTGTACTGGTGGAGTGCCCATCACCCTGGAGTCCTGGTGGAATGTCGAACCGGGGACCTCTGGAGCTTTGTGCATGAGCCAAAAGCCAGCTGGCGGGGAGCTAAAGCTGTAGAGCAGTCTCATTCTTCTTCCTGTAAATTGCCCTGCTGCCAATAGGTGCAACAGTGACCCACACCCAGCAGGTGTGTGGGTTACACAGGCACCCACTGCGACCCAGAGAAAATGTCGGAAAACTATTGTGCACTGATGCCGGCAGCACCTACTACAGGGGCTGATACTCCCTTTTCTTCATGGGAGTAGATACAAAGTGGCTTTGTCTACACTACAAGGTTTTTGCGGCAGAGAGTATGCTAATGACAGACTCGTTAGCATGAGTCGTGATGTCATTCGCATATTTTCTGCCGCTGCTGTTTGCGCAAGGGGTTTTTGTGCAAAAAGAAGCAGTTTAGCCACTTCCGTTTTGCGCAAAAGCCCCTTTTTTGCACAAGATCTTTATGCCTTTCCTGGCCATACTGGGTCAGACCAAAAGTCCCAGAGAGGCATACGGATGTTGCGCAAAAAAAACCCCTTTTGCACAAAACGGAAGTGGCTACACTGCTTCTTTTTGCACAAAAACCCCTTGCGCAAAAAGCATCGGCAGAAAATATGCGAATGACATCGCGACTCATGCTAACGAGTCTGTCATTAGCATACTCTCTGCTGCAAACACTTGTAGTGTAGACAAAGCCAGTCTGTGTGCACATACTCTCTGGCCCTCTCCGACCCATTAGTTTAGCTCGTTTGGTGCTAGGCTCTGATCCTAAGCAGCTCTTGGAGGTGCGGAGCCTTTTAAGCTCCCTCCAGGTTTAACTGAGCCCTTAATTTGCATGCCTGGATAATGCAGAGTCTTCCTGGGTGGAAAAGTAGCACTCAGGGCTAATCGCTCGAGCTATGCTGCGATGCAGTCGGGGCGGCTGAGCCAAAGCAGCATGTCCCAAAAGCAACAACTACCTCTTCAGCTCCATGGTCAGCCCCCCTCAGACGGCGATCCTCGGGCCAGAATACTCGAAGGCGGGGGAGAGTCTCTACATTTCACCTTAAGAATGGAACTTATACACGGACGAAAGGAGCTAAACCCATTTGATCATTTGCTCTTTAATTACTGCTGCACAGTTGCCTTTTTCTAGCTTTTCTACTGAGGGCAGCAGGAGTTTCATAAGCCGCCTCCGGGCACCCCATCGTGCTCCGCGACAGTTGCTTGTAAGAATTCAAGCCGGCATCTATCCGCACCAGGTTTCTGTGCGTGCTCTTAACGCCCCTCCCTGCTCCCACCCGGAGACGTCTGAATCAGGCGTGGTGCTGGATGTGGGAGCCTCTCCCTGGTCCGAAATCAAGCTGGCTTCCCATGCTGCCTTCTTGAGCGGCCTTTCTTTCAGAATCGTGCAGATGCTCTAAGCTCCCTTGGATACACATGGGCTAAGCCTCTGTGGTACCAAAGCCCATGCTTCACCGGGCATCTCTAGGCTTGGCATTTCATAGCTCTGGTGCGTCTGGCTTAAGAACATCAGAATGGCCACACTGGGTCAGACCAAAGGTCCATCAACCCCAGTGTCCTGTCTGCCGACAGTGGCCATGCCAGATGCCCCAGAGAGAGGGAACACAACAGGGAATGCTCATGTAATCCCTCCCCCGTCACCTACCTCCAGAGAAACAGAGGCTAGGACACCATTTTTACCCATCCTGGCTAATAGTCATTGATAGACCTAACCTCTATGAATCTATCTAGCTCTTTTTTGAACCCTGTTAAAGTCCTAGGCTTCATCACATCCTCTGGCAAGGAGTTCCACAGGTTGACTGTGCACTGAGTGAAGAAAAACTTCCTTTGGTTTATTTTAAACTTGCTGCCTATTCATTTCATTGGGTGACCCCTAGTTCTTACAATGTGGGAATCATTCAATAACTTTTCCTTATTCACTTTTTCCACACCAGTCATGATTTTATAGACCTCTATCATATGCCCCTCCCCCCAGTCTCCTCTTTTCCAAGCTGAAAAGTCCAAGTCTTTTTAATCTCTCCTCATATGGGATCCGTTCCAAACCCCTCCTCATTTTTGTTGCCCTTCTCTGACCCTTTCCCAATGCCAATAGATCTCTATGGCTTGGCTGCTTCCATTGTGAATGTAAAAACGTGGCTTGAGCCCCAGCATGTCTTTCATTACAAATTGATCACTGCCTGGGCACTTGCTCATTGCAAGATTCCCATTGACTTCACTGGGATTTGAATCAGATTCTTGGAGCCTGATCCTGGAAAGCCACTTGCGGGGTGCGGGCGCCAAGTACCTTGCAGGATCAGGCACTGTTGGGAGAAGGACCCCCTGGCTTTGTCAGTCAAGCTCAATTGCACCAGACTCCTGTCCTTTCTGATTCCCCGGCCTGCTGCCTTTCGTAGAATCACAGAACACTAGAACTGGAAGGGACCCCGAAAAGGCATCAAGTCCAGTCCCCTGCCCTCATGGCAGGACCAAGCACCATCTAGACCATTCCTGACAGATGTCTGTCCAACCTGCTCTTAAATATCCCCAGAGATGGAGATTCCACAACATCCCCAGGCAATTTATTCCCGTGTTTCACCACCCGGACAGCCAGGAAGTTTTTCCTAATGTCCAATCTCAACCTCCCTTGCTGCAATTTCAGCCCATTGCTTCTTGTCCCCTTTCCAAAAGGACACAGCCCTTCAGAGCTAGGCGATCACTGCAGTAAAATGAAAGCTGAGAAGAAAGCAAGTTAGGGGAAGCAGATCCATGCCAGGTTCTCCTGGTAGCGTGTGAAGCACAGCTTAGGTTTGTGACGTTCGGGGACTTTTCACGTGGACCAGGGCGGGTTTATGGGCTTCTATTGAAACCACGTGAAAGTGGCAGTTTCGTGTTTGTTTTAGAACAGATGAGGGGAACCTTAGGCCCGGGGGCTGATCTGGCCCCAGAAGTCCAGGGCTCCCCTCCTAGCACTGGGGAGCCCTGTGCCTCCTGAGGGACCGAAGCACATAAAACCTACTAACCTGGGCTCTGGTGTGCGAGGAAGATGTGGGCAGCATCTTTCTCCTTCTCCATCAGGGGCCACGTCAGTGAGGACTTGGGGTTTTTTTTGGCTTCTCACTTGTGCGCAGCCACTGACTGATTTTTTTTTCCCATGGGTCAGAGGCTCCTGACCCAAAAAAGATAGAATCATAGAATCATAGGACTGGAAGGGACCTCGAGAGGTCATCGAGTCCAGCCCCCCGCCCTCAAGGCAGGACCAAGCTCCGTCTACACCATCCCTGACAGATGTCTATCTAACCTGTTCTTAAATATCTCCAGAGAGGGAGATTCCACCACCTCCCTTGGCAATTTATTCCAATATTTGACCACCCTGACAGTTAGGAATTTTTTGAAGTGAAGTGGCATCACTGAAGTCAGTGGATTCACCCAGACGGACATGCAGGGACGAATCGACTGAACTGTGCTGTTCTTCCATGAGTACAGAAGACTTTGCATCAGCCCATGGGACTGCCCAGACCCCAGCGGCCATCTTGGATTCTCTCCACCGGCATCTAGGCGGTTACTTATGTTGTTCTGAAAGCTCCGTTCTGGTTTGAACAATATTGTTTCTCCAGAGCAGGTCTAGTTGTCACCTCACGGTGGACCCTCTAAGACAGGAGTGAGGAACTTTTTTGGGTTGGGAGCCTATGACCCCCAAACAGACACTTCCCCACATTCCCTTCACAGAGCCTAGGGGAGCCTGGGCTAGTAGATTTTTGTGGGTCCCCTCCAAGCTCTGGGGTGGGGCCAAAAATGAGGGGTTCACTCTGTGGCAGGGGGCTGCCGGGGAGTGGGCTTGGGGTGGGGGGTGTGAATGGGAGAGAGGGTGCCGGAGCGGGTTCGGCAATGCAGGGTCTGGGCTGTGTGTGTGTGTGGGGGGGAGGGGGGGCGCTTATC